CAACAAATTTGAGAAGAATGAAGGCAAAGAGGTTTGCTGTTTTTTCGTAGAACCAGAGTCACCAGGAGTCCAAAGACCACCGCTAGATTGAGCTGGAGCTGCCCTTTAAGCCGATGACATTGGCTTGTTATCAGCGCGCATAATATCACTTCCAGGCTGCAAAGCGGCACCTTTAGCTTGGTCTTGAATCAACCCTTCTCCCTGGTTGCGACAAACCTGGTTCCCGTTGACATCCTCCTGCTATGGTCTAGGATCTCCTGATGATGATGATGCATCATCCATCATCAACCCACCCGCTTCACGCAACTTATTAATGGCTCTGACGGTATCAATCGCCTTATGCAACGTCCTCCTCGCATTAAAGTTCCTTTTAACTGTGGGCAGGAGATCTTCACCATGTTTTCTCGATGGTATCTCAATGGTTTCTTCATTAGATGGAGTAATCCAAGGATGGTTCAATGCTTCATGAGCGGTCATACGCTTTTGGGGATCGACCGTTAGACAACCTTTGATGAATTCTCTGCCCACATTGGAGACGTTGCGCCAGTACTCTTCAGGTTTGAAGGAAAAATCCGCGACAAGGATGGCTTGCATTTCTTCCAGGTTGGAGTCTCTGTCGAAGGGTGTGTAGCCACAGAGTAGGAAGTAAGTGATGACGCCAATGGCCCAAATGTCACTACCCATTGTCGTTTTCGTCAGTCTCTTTTCGGTCGTCATGATAAGCCTTGGATGGGCCGTCCTTGGGGTGTTCAGAAACATACACTGGTTTCCCGTGCCCTGACTTCTTAAAGATTTCAGGCGCCATATACCCTGGCGTGCCGCACGTAGTCGTGAGAACGTGGAACTGCTCTTCATCCATAATCCTAGACAGACCAAAATCCGCAATAAGTAAATCTGCATTATCCTCTGGCGTTCTGAACAGGAGATTCTCAGGCTTCAAATCTCGATGGACGATGCCATGATCGTGAAGGTAAGCCACTGCAGATAGAGTTGCACGAATAATGTCTGCGGCATCTGACTCGTAATAGCTTCCCTTTCGACATATACGGTCAAATAGCTCTCCTCCAAGAGCAAGATCGGTGACAAGGTATACTTCAATAATGTCGTTTGTCAATCAAGAATGCTCCGGGTTTGAATTCCTTGGTATGAGTGAGACTGGTGCGCGAATGAAGAGGGAACTCACGATTGTTCATGGTCTCAAAGTAATCGACCAAAGTGAGGATATTTTGGTGTCCAACGGACAACCTTCTCAATATCGCAATCTCATTACGGACCTGTTAGACATGGCATTTACCAGTACACATCGAGATTAGCAAACGGCATAACTCTCTCGCTGCACTGGCTTGACATGTCTGCTTGTTCTCATTTTCAGTTACCATATGTTCTCTGCCGGCCATCAATCGTTTATTGATAACTTTAGCGGCGTAGTACCGTCCAGTATCAATATGCACACATTCCTTAACGACGGAATAGGAGCCAGCTCCTAACGTCTTGCCAGTCTTGTACCGACACGGTTGAATCTGGGGACGCTGGGCAGCGGCCATGATGATTATTAGATGACGGTCAAACGCCGGATACGTGATGCTTTCTGAATGCGCAGCAACAGAAAAATGGCAATTCCTATGAAAGAAGCAGGGAGAGAAGGAGAGAGAGGAAAAAAAAAAGAAGAAGATAAAGAAGAAAAAGCTATCTGCTGAAGAGGAGCAGCAGAAGCAGTAGCAGAATCAATCAGGTACTATTGATCCGGCAATTATCCGCCCAGAAAAATATATTTCTCAAGAAATATCAATATAGTCTGCTTCTTCTTCTTCTTTCTCATATGTAACTATCCCCCTTCCCTTCCTCTTCTTCCTCGTCTCCCTCTTGGACGATTGCAACAACAGCAGATACGGCAGCGGATTTAGGTCGACGAGAGGAACCGAGAGCGGGGCCTACCTCCCGTTTCTTTTCTTGAATCGTAGTTAAGGCACTAATTAGATGGTTCGGCTTCGTCTATTGTCTTATGACGAGCAGCTGTCGTGTACTTGCAAAGAGGAGGATTGAATAGAATATAACAAAATGCAAAATGCAAAAAAGAATAAGTACGGAACCTGCAGGGCTAATCCGCGGGTGGATGAATGTGTGGAAGCGAGCTGAAGCAGATATTATCAGTGGATGCCCAGCTTATTATCGCAGCAGCTCTAGTGACAGCAAGGCCGATGACGACGGCCTGAGATGAATTGGGCTATGACTTGACTTGCGAAGGGAGCAGGAGCTACCTAATATCCGTGCGAACAAGAGTTTGAGAAGAATTTGCATCAAGAATCAGACGGCATAATTCCTCCGGGCTCAGCTATATTGTCTGCAGCGCTGTCCAACGCCGGGAAACGGCACAGAGGGGAAGAGACAGAGAGAGAGAGAGAGGGAGAGAGGGAGAAAGAAAGAAAGAAAGAAAGAAAGAGACGATGAGACACGCAGATGATGTTGCCGTTTCACCAAACTGGACGACCGTCACAAGACTCCAGAGGTTGCGCCCAATTGCACTATGTTGCAGGCAATCCAGCTGGTTTATGAACATATCGGCAACGATCGACGATTTCAAGATCAAGGTCAACGCGAGGAGCGATCAGCTATGCTGAATGCATCGCCCAACCATCAGCAAATGCCGTGGTACTGAGTACGAACGGGGTATGAGATGATGACGGTTGGATTTGAAGACACTGCAAAGGAATAGATGGTTGCATGTGCTGCGCTCGACCATTACTCCTGATGAGATTGGTTGGTCAGGGAGAACCAAATGTGGTGATTGCACCACTTTTTTCAGGTCATTTCTAGAATGACTCAATTTTCACCTTGAACGACATCTTCTACTGCACAGAGAAAACAACCGGCGCGCGAGGAGACGAGACGACATTCTTGTGCCATGTGTAAGGACTGCTAAGCCGCCTTTACTGTGCAATTACAAGACAGGGCGCTGAATCGCATTCATTTTCATAAAATGCGACCTGGATGAATGAAAGAAGCGGTGTCTGCGGTATGGGTTTGCCCAGCTGGTAGGCGACAGAAATCTCTATTAGTGCGCCCCAATAAGTTTCACGTTGACGAACCCTGTCAGTGAATGCTCTCGCCGCTTTGCATCTCGATTTGCTCCCTATTGATTGCATGGGTGCAGTTCCACGGCTGTGCTATGTTCCAGAAGCAAGAATGAAGGATGCCACCACTACCACTATCCATGTTGTTCGCCAATCATGGCTGTCAGCAAACTGATTCTCAGGAAGGATTCCAACGTTGCAGTCTGTGTTTCCCTCTTTCCGAGCATTCTTCTGGTCTGAGGTAGACTGCTTCCCTCTGCATATGATGTTCCAGGCATTTTGAACATGAACCCCGGAGTTGATGCGATTCAATCACCCTCGCATGGCATTGCTGCTGCTTACTCGAGGAAGACATGCCGACTTCTAGCGTCATAGTTCTCGCCAAATGGTGCTGGATGGTCTCGGTTTCAAAACCGCAAAGTTGGCCGCGAATCAGTCTTCTCTTCGTCACACATTCTCAGCCTGGAGGGCAGCATATGAACCACCTACTATTGGTATTCCGTCTTACCATTGCTACCTCGACTCTCGGAGGAATGAGAGGAGCCTGTTTTGAGACGTCCCGGTAGTGTATAGAAGGCCGGCCTGTGACACGCTTAGTTCTCAAGTCCTAAGGGAAGTCATCTTTCTAGAGTGGCATTAGACGCAGCAAGATCCGATGCAAGCGTTTCTCAAGATAGGGTCTTAAAAGGGAAAGAAGATGGGTAAAATTGCACAAACGTCAAAGGAAAAGGGACCGGTGAAGGAGTTTGCAAAATCTTCGACGGACTCATATACGGGGGGCAGCGCGCGCATTTGGAGGATTTCAATCCTTCATTATCCCTTTGCCAGTTCTAATCACCATTTCCTTCGTCATTAATATTCCTTCGCCTTGATCATCTCACTTTCTGACTGCGCATCTCAAATCGTTTTACACGCTGGAAAGCACGCTTGACGTTGAAAGATATCAGATATCTTCTCACAAGTCCCAAAAGAAGAGAAATCCGTTCTCTCGCGGCAGCATACAAAGAAACAGAAAAGAAACAGAACAGGGAAAATGTGTTTCATCGAGACCATCACGCACGATGCCTACTCGAGACAGGTATTCCATGACGACTGTCTCAATCCTAACTGCTATACATCTTCCCGCTATAATCCAGCGACTATTGATCCGAAGATCCTCAGCCGTTAAACTTTAAAGGAGCAGCTCGTTCAGATCAGTGGGTGACTAACACTCTCAGAGAACTTGGTCATCATGCTGCATACTGCTTTTCGGAATCGAGAGTCATAATTGAGACCAGGCAATCAAGTCTATCGATGGGCGTTGTTCAATTCGGAAAGTTCAAATGGATAGGGGTGTGGGAAGGGTTGGCACCGTGATTTTGACTGAGCTGGCTTTTCTTCGTGGTGGCTAGAACCCGATATGCTACCATTGATACTCTACAACGGATCCTAAGTTCCATCGGTTCCCACAGAAGAACTTTTTTCTTGATATATTGAATCAAACGCTTATGTTATCGCCGTGTATTCGACCGCGAATACTGTGATTAATATATCATAGGCAATCAGCCTTGAGTTTACATCTATCATTTCTTGACTCAATTCTTTTCCTACTTCATCAATGAAATCAGACTGTAATGGCGTATAACATCAGGCTAAGTATCCTTTACTCGTGCACTCAGGAGAGGTCTGCGGCAACCAAGGAACACGACAACACTAAAAAAAAAAAAAAAAAAAAAGAAAACCCTAACAATCAAACCAACAACTCATTCAAGAAAGCAGTAAGAATAGAATGAAAACGTAGAAGAATAAAAATAAATCAATGAAATTGACAAGAGTGGGATTTGAACCCACGCCCCTTTCGAGACTGCAATACGATTCCTGTTATTGTTCAGGAACAAGTCTTGTTGGAACTTGAGTGCAGCGCCTTGGACCGCTCGGCCATCTTGCCTTCTCCGAGACGGGGAGTCGAACCCCGGTCTCCCGCGCTTGTTGTTCTGTGCTGAACAGTGACAAGCGGAAATCATGACCGTTAGACCATCTCGGATTTCGATTGATTGATTGATTTGATTGCTTTAACTGCTCTATCATGTCGAAATACAGGTCTTGGAGCGGCTGACAGCAAAGGGGCTGTGGAAGGGGCAGGGGCAGGAGCACAGGGTGCACTCAGTATTGAACTGGATATGGATCCGAGAATTGTCGCTCAATAATAATAAGTTGGTTGGGACATGTACAGCTCACAACCCCACATAATTAAACTATAGTAGAGTAGTATTTTGCCTTGACCAACTGGTTCTTCATATCCAGTGGTGATCTTTTGAGTCCTGCTGAATACTACCATACTTGAGTTACATAATGGGTTGAGAGACATTTGGGTGTGTCTGGAATACACTGTGGGTGGTGGTGGTGGTGGTGGTAGTAGTAGTAGTAGTATTAGGGGCGCTGCCAATCAGCAGACCTGGTCAAGTAGGATTCAATAGGATTTGAACCTACTGCGCTCTTGGTGGTAAAGTCCAAGGGGCCTGCCAGGGAAGGGCTCAACCACTGCGCAATCCCCCCTCGGTTTTTCCTTTTTTTATTTGATAATTGTGATTTCATGAATTATATGACATTGTAAGCGTTGACCGTAGACTCGACTTCAAGTGCGAGACCTTGTCCATAGGCCCTCCCACAGCGACCGGCTCCAAAGCCTCCTCTTCGTACTCAATCGCAGACAGTGCTTTGACACTGCGGTTGATGCCCATCGTTAAGCTCGCAGTACGTCCTATGGTATTGAATTGCAAAGGCAAAAAAAAGGACACTAGACATCTCTTATTCCGCCCACTCTATTTAACGTCTCGTGATGCAAACTCATTCATTCGTCTCAGAGAATCCGAGTGGCCTGACGATTTGCGCCAAAAAAAAAAAAAAGAAAAAAACAGGAATCAGCTGCAAAACCTACCAATGACGCTGATCTAGTATACATATGCACTGAAAAGGCCCCTTTTCTTATTTCTTTTTCATCGCCGGCGCGGAATCCGAGGAAGACAAAAAGACAGTGAGAGAGGAGAGAAATTAGACGTATGGTCCAAATGTCCATGTCGGAAGAACTCGCCTGTGGGAGTCTGAAAGGTGGAGAACAACCCGACGTCATCACCGGTTGATATGGAGCGGGAAAAGGGGTCAAAACGGCCATAGTACTTAGAACGAATCCAAGTTGATATCCCGGCAATCGCACGGCAATGGCTAAGACAAGATCACTTATTTTCACTGGACGAGCATATTTCTTTGCGGAACAAACAGAAGCAAACGCTGGCGCTGGCCGCG